ATAGTTTGGAGAAATGTTCCTGTCGAATAGGATACTTTTCATTCTCTCCGGGTAATGTTTCCTGCCCATTACAACCGCCGCTCCTCGCTTATCCGCCGGAGGAACTATATGATCATTCTTTTATAATTTTTTTCCGTATAACAACCAATCCACTCCTCTGTATTGGCTCTTGATGTGCCATGATTGGTAGGATTAATTACATCTCCCTCTCCCGCCTTATCTCTTCTGGATATTTATCCGATAGGTTGACAACTTACACAATAATATCATCATGAACATTTTATTCGTTACCAAGGGTAAAAAGACATAAAATTAATATATAAAATACATCTAAGTAAACAAATAACCAATTACTTTCCAAAACAGATGAATAAACAGTAACAGTATTGAATATAATCTGGGACGTACTGATCTTTGATCGGTTCGATAACTACTTCGCCCATCAAATGTGCGAGAGGCAGGTTCTCCACGGTGTTCGGGTCCATTCCTCCTTCTCTTGATGAGGACATATTCGAGTCAAGCAGGCAACAGAGTAAAGTTGAGCAAGGAGCTTTATGTGGCCTAGACACATAAGGAGATGGAGAGGATTCAATGGAAGATGTAGTATGGGAATCGGAAGAATCTAGACGAGTAGCTAGGCATTGGTGCCTCGATTCTTCGAAGGGGGTCTTATTAATTCGAGAGTAAATGGGCGAGGTGTCAGGAAAGATTAAATGAGGAAGTGAACCTTTGAAAATGGCAGCGTCGAGCTTAGCTATTTGATGGAGTAATATATAATAAAAATAAAAAAAATAAAAAAAAAATATCGAAAGATGCTCAGCATGGAATAAAAAGCATTCACTTTTAGGAATAAGACAGTAAATGTAAAAAGGGCAATAAATCAACAATAGCCAAATCTTATTACCACGATTTAATGAAATGGCAAATAATAATCTAGAAGAGTTCCAGGATTAAAAAACCTAGTTTAGTGCTCTAACAAATAAAGTGGATTAGTAGAAGCTTATAATCAGATATGTTAAGAAATCATCACAAACAATTAAAGAAATTGATCACATGAAGAATAACTTAACATTAAAATATTAATGAAATTAATACGCAATCATAATAAATAATACACATTTATGAAAGTGAAGATACCAGTTCATAGAAAAACAACTTTAGGCATATAAGAGACCAGAGAAAAATTCGTCAGAACATGATAGCATGCGCTACAAAAATATGTCAAGATTTAAGATAGGGTAACCAGCTGCAATCCCTCTTACCTAATAGACGATTGAGGACTTTTTTCTATTTATGACACACCTCTACTTGAGTAAAAATAAGTGAAATAGATGCAATGCGCAATAATAGGTATCTATGCTCACAA